TGGCAAATATGAGTCCATCCTAATGTCAAATTCTTTAGCTATCCAGGAATGTTACGGTCAAAAAGGAACATATTCTAAGTCCAAAGACAAAGTTTTAACAATTTAATATCAATATTATATAGGTAGAAAATTCTGAATATGTTTGGAGATTACATATATAAATATTCCCTACAACATGGCAAGAACACGAGTCTATTGGCATGCAACACTAATTTAGCTTATTTCCTTCTCATTTTTCTCTATCTCTCCCTGCTAAAGCTATAAGTATCAATTACTACTCACTGTTGCACAAACATACTTTACTAATGAAAGCATACCCTGCTTTTCTTATTACAGTAATTAGAAAACAACATGAGGTTTAGTTTTATTTTCAATTTATAGCAGTTACAGTTACTGTAACATATTTTGAACTTGAAAAATCAGCCTTAATAAACAACACAATATGTAGTGGCCTACTTAAAAAAAGGTTATTCAACCTTTCTTAACATTCTCTGAGACAATCTTACTACTATTAAACTCTGAATATGCTAAATCAAAGGCTGGTGCAGATCATTCTGAATCCCTCAGGACACAGAAGGAACACACACATCTTCAGTAAGTATTTCTTACAGAAAAAGACAATTGCTCCTGCTATTCAGTTATTTCAAAAGCCAGCTTCCTTTAAAATCTGAGACAGGTAGTGAATGATTCTGCTTGGAATCATTTACACTTTAAAGACCTTTGAAACTACTGGGAAAAAGAGCAATTCCAAAGTCATCTTTGTTTTCAGAGCAAAACAATGGTGTGCACACCTGCTGAACCTAATCATCACAAACAGAGTCTCTATTGTGTGTATCTTACCACTCTTCCCTTACTTGACCATTTTTTAAAAGGTTAATACTACTCCTATTCATTTGCACTAAACTATAGTTTCATGTTTTAAATATACTTAATAATTTAGTAATCGAATATGTTCACAGGTTACAGTTAAAACTAGTGATGGGCAATTTACTGGCAGAAAGAGATTAGTTGACAATAAATAGTTATTAAATCTTAACAGAATTTTGACCATTTTCTCCCCAGCTAATTAAAATGAAATCACTATTATTTGGAAACATACATTATGTTAGCAGTTTTGTTTCAGAATGAATTGTTGCCAAGAAAGCATACACATTAAAAAAAGACTTTATGTAGGAACAGACTTGGTGTATGTAAGTTACATTTTTAACCAACTGTAAAACAAAGAGTTATAACCAGCTGACAGCAGTTAAAAAAACTAATTGCCTTTCAATATAATTAACTGTAATGAATTATTTGTATATACCTGATGAATAAAATATATGCTCACAGAAGACATTTTCTTAGTTTACAATCCATATTTTGCTTATTTAGGATTTCTAATTTATGTATATATGCAAACTTCATTCATGAAACAAAATGCTTTCAAAGATGTTTTCTTTATCATTATCTTTATAATGATAATACCACCTGTCTCTATACAAAAATCTCTGTTTCTCAGGGCTGAGAAAAGCATTTCACAACCAACATAGGAATTTTCATGACTAGGAACTGAATGCTCACATAATTACCAACTCAAAAAGTCAGATTGTTTTTGAATACCCAACTGAAATTTCTATAGGAAGTATTCTACAATGCTATTTTAATCATTATTCTGTGAAAGCCAAGCATGGCCTTCTATGTCACACAATAACCCACTTTTTCCTTAAAAAAAATCTAAGCCTCTTAAGTTAGAAATGTATCTAATCATTGTCCATAGTAAACATGGTGGGTTTTTTTTTCAGGATACATTCCAAGTGGATAGAATAATTATTTCAATCATGAGGAAAGTAGGTTATAGCACAGTGGCATTATCAAAGAAGGTGAATTTAGGGTTTGTAATAGTTTTAATAAAGGTGTGATAGAAGTTGTTTTATGTGGGATGTGTAAAAATTTGCAGGGAAAATTGTGGGACTTATTTGATGTGTTGAAGCTTGTTAAACCAAAAAATAGAAATCATACCTCAGGCTTTTAAAGTTTGGCACAAATATTAAAAGTCATGATTTATGGGGTATTGGGGGCTCTAGCAAATACGTTAAAGTTGCTCTGCCATGAAAAAATGAAAAAAAGCATGTAATGAAGATTCTTGCTGGATATTCTTTACCCCATTAACAATATGTAGCAAATTCAAGAGAGTTATACAACCTAATCATTATGATTTAGAAGCTAAAAATTGTTTAAGAAAAGCTGTTGGGTTGCGCCATGAGATATATTTCATATATCCCAGGTATGCTGACTTGATAATACTGTAACTGCAACCATGGTCTAAATGTATTACTGTAGGAATCCCAATTTCCCCAATGTGTAAGCCCACTTCTGAATATGGTGGTATAAGTTCAGGACAGATATGCATAATAGCTGCTGATATTGTTGATTGAACACATTACAATAAGCTTGGAATGCACATAGCTAAGCCCTCTTATTAAACAAGGAACATTTATTCTTTTCTTGGATTCCAATATATCCTGCTAGATGAGAGGCTTCTCTATTGTGTCACTTAATTCCATGAAACAATGGAAATCCCACCAGCAGAAGCAGATTCACAGATATGCACAGTATATAGTATCCAGTGACATTACTGAATATATTTCTGAAAGGTTTTGGAGCAGAGGTTATCTAATAGCAGATTTTGGAAAGCTAGAAAAACATCCCAATGGAATTTAATGGGGCTTTTCCCTTGAGATGTTTAGGATGCACGGATAATGAATGTATAGCAAACAACTGCAATTCCATTTTGTGAAACTGGAGGTAGGGAAGATGTGATACACAGTCTAAGTAGGGTTAGGAGCATCCAGAAAATCCTAAATTTCCACTTTCACTTGCCCAATATGATCCACGGGAATACACAAGCACTGTGCCACTTAGTTACTTTTGAAATTTCTACAAAACACAGAAAAATAATATATGCATATACAGGCATGGAGAAAAAATTATACACTTTAAACAAAATGTTGAGAATGAAATCCTATTACTGATCATCTTCCTTTAGTTGAGATTTATAAAGAAAATTGTATTTCTCTTTGTAAAAATGCAAAGAAAAATAGTTGTATCTTTTTATGCTTCACGTGTCACTAAACACTATGCATACATGAATGTTGAAATAGAATTATCCCAGCATGATTGTCTGGGCACAGAATCATCAAGCCATGTACTAGATTTTTCAAAATAACTCCAAGAACCACAAAGCTAAATAGGTCACCTGTAAAGAGCCACAGGAAATAAATTAGCTTCTTGCTTTTAGGAACCACTTTTAAAAAATCCTGTTTATGAGTGAATAACCCAATAGTGTGCAGAACTGTGCAAACTGTTACATCATAACCTATTTATGTCAATGGAATGAGACAGTCTGACCTCTGATTCCTTTGAGAAAGATCAAGCAAATTAGTAGTTAGTAAACTGATCTATTGCTATTCTCCTTACAAAGTCATATCTGTTGAATCCAAGTTAGGAAAACTAAGATATGCAGTCTTCTTCCATTTTCAATATATGCAGAAACACACATGCAGAAACATACGCATAGCCCTTTAATGGGATGATAATAGATAGAAATCACTCCAATTAAGAGTAATTTTGAGATTCAAGTAATTTACGGGTCTTAAGTTGATGTCTATTAAAAATAGTGCAGAAAGCTATTCATAAAGTTTCTCTACTAATGATAAGTCAATGGATCTTTAATGTTTCTGGGTCAGATACAAAAATCACTGGCTTTTTATCACAGCTCTATTAAATAACTAATTCTCACATTCCCATGTACACTGGGAGTGTGCAAACATGTTCAAAAATTAAGCAACTGAACAAGGAGAATAAAAGGACTTTATTTCTAAAGTTATATGTTACCTGATTCCCAGCAACTTATCAAAATAAGACAATAAGCTATCTAAGCTGATAACAGGGCTTTTGATGTATATCAATCAAGTCATTATATACAAAATCATGCCATTCTTTTTTTTTTTGTCTTAAATACTGAAAAGCATGGCCATTTACACATCACGATATACCATATTATATTAATTTTCAAAAACAAAACATACTCCACCCTTTATTTTGGGAACATGAATGATTATTATAGATCTACTTTAACGAGGCAAGTTTACTTTAGGCAGTTTCCAACCAAGCCAATAAGTTTTTACTCTTCAGTAAAAGGGTATACAGTGTGGCAGCTTTAAAACTGCCTTCAGAAATGGATACGGGTTCTTTTACATATCTTCAACTTTGTCACTTAAAACTAGTATAGTTTCATGTAAGTAATTTCCACCTCCAGGTTACAAAACTGCTTAAATTTATACGTCTTCACCTTTCAAACCTCAAACATACCCAGCCCGAGATTTAGCGGTTACAAATGACTGAACCGCTTCGGTAAATCAGCCAACTGCTGCTATACTAATTAAAATCGCCACTTCCGCTATCAGCGCCCGTTGAACAAGTAGCCAAGTCAACCAGCGGCGCGACTCCCAAAACGGGAGCATTCATCCGGTGGGACAGCCCGCTTAGGGTCAAGAGATCAGCCCGATAGGACCAGCTTTAAGAAGCTTCTCGGATCGATTTCGCTGGGAAAAAGGCAGGCTTGCGAGCTTCTTAAGAAGCTACAAAGTTCAGTTGGAAAGCGCAGAGTACCAGTGGCTCAGTATGGATCGACCTGTGTTGCAAGCCTGTTTTCCTCCCTGAGGGCTCCTCGGGAGTGCTGAGTGAGGAGGTCTAATTTCTAACGAATGCACTTCAGCCCCATCCATTTCGTCTTCTGCACTCCATAAATGCACCCTAAGCGCCGAAGCACCCACTTGTGAACCTCAGCCCAAACTGCCGCCTAAGGCTGCGGTCCACCGCCTGCGTATCTCTGAGAACAAATCCCATTGAGTTGAAAGGACTTCTTTCCGACTAGACCTGGCCAAGAGGGGAAAACGAGAAGTCACTCGGGTTTCATTAAAGCGCGACCCGGCTACTGGTTTGGGTGTTTTTCCCCATACCTGGAAATGCTTGAAAAAGGCAGAGATACGCGTAATCTGCAAGCTGAGACACCTGGAGCTGCATCTGGCTCCATAAATACTGGTGGCGGAGAAGAACTCGTCCTGCTGGCGAGCCGCCGCCGCCGCTGCTGTTTCTCCAGCCCAGGCATTGCAGCCGGGCAGGCAGCCCCAGGAAGCGGTAATCCAAAGGAGAAGAGTCAAAGGAACGCCGGGCTCCTTAAACCCCATGGCTTCGTGCGCAGCCGGGTGCGGGAGAAGAAAACAACCCCAACAGCCCTAAACACTCCGCACCGCGTGCAATTGCGCCGCTTCACCTCGCCAAGGGAAAGGGAGGCGGCGGCGGCGGCGAAGCCTCAGCGCAGCAAAAACTCTCGCGGAAAAAAGTTCAATCATTCAACTCTCTTCAATAACCCCCCCCCCCTTCTAGTTTTCAGCTCGCAGCCCTCCCCTCACTCCCAGGAGGACAAGGAGGTGGGGAAAGGGTGGCAGAAGACTGCCCGATTGGCTGCGGAAGACCAGAGTGACAGGGCGGTTAGGAGGGGCGGAGTGTCTGACCGCAAGGAGGTCGCGCGAGCGGAGAGGCGGGGGGTCACGAGAGGAGTCTGAGGCGGCGAGCCGCTTTGGGGTTCGTAACTTTCCCTCCCGCGTTGCGCGCCGCGCTGTGGCCAGGAATTGTTGGGAAGGGCCTTTTGCACCCCGCGCGTGACACCTGCCTTGGCTCCCTCGCGAAGCTGGGCAAAGGAAAAAGAATCTAGCAGACGCCCACGTTGGGACTGGGGTTATATAACCTTCGTTTAACCTGTCCACGCCTTTTAAGAGTCACACAGGCTATTGTTGAGGGTTCAATTTGGTTAAAGTTAGGGGCGCCGAAAGCAAATTCGGTAGGCGGGGTTGCTGACTTTTAAAATCCTCAACCCTAGTATGAGGAGCACCCCTTCATTCTTGGTCTTAGATCTTCTCCACGGACACACCCAAACACGGGCACAGACTGCTCTTGGTTTGATAATAGTACAATAAACCTACATAGACAAGAAACTTGGCTGGAGCGGTAGCTCGTGGCGGCACACAGGCAATTTGCCTGGTTGGAAAAACAACTTTGAATTGCCTTCGTCAATCAGATTGGCCATTGGGAAATAAAACCTGTACATCTATGCTCGACATAAAATTTTCGCACTGAGGTAATTGCCTAAATGGACACATCAAATCGAAGCCACGAAGCATCTATTATTCTTTGAAATCCACTGATGCATAGAACCTATTAGTACTGAGAATCTATTGAGGCATGGAATCGAAAAAATGTTACACTTGTCTTTTTTTTTCCTCCTTGGCACTGAACCCCTTCAGGACAAGTACCTATGTAGATTTCATGTTTTCATTCATTATTAAATGAGTACTCAAATGACTAATCACAAGGTTTAGAGCAGGGGTGTCCAACCTTTCACCTTCCCTGGGCCACATTAGAAGATGAAAATTTGGTTTGGGCCGCACATATAATAAATTATTATAAAATAATTATATTATAAAATTATATAATAAATTATAAATTATTTTTATTATTTATTATTAATTATTTATTAAAAATTATTTATTTTTTATTAATTTTCCGGCCAAATTTTGCGGGGTGGGGGGGCGGCGGCGGGGGCAGAAGCAGCAAAGGCAGCGCCCTCCTTTTCTGTTGCTGCTTGGCGTGGTGCTCGTCTCGCCCCGCCTCGCGCCTGTCTCTCCTCCTCCTCCTCGCTGGCTCTTGCCAGAAGGTTGGGGTGGGCACTGGGCCGCATTACGAGGCGACCTGGGCCGCATGCGGCCCATGGGCCGCGGGTTGGACAAGCCTGGTTTAGAGAGATGAGATAATGTTCTAGAACTGGATTTTAATGTTTAAGCATATGGCAAAATGTGTAATTTAAAATGTTTCATATAAAATTAGCATAGGAATATTTATATACCAAATTAGCTGAAGTGCCGGTAAATACTGCATATAGTGACAAATGCCTAAAGTGAGGGTGGCAATCCAAGCACTTCACAGCCTTAGTTTGAGAGCAGGGCAGATTTAAATCATTGACTTTGTCCAAAATGCAAAAATGAACATTTTGGTAACATCAGTAAGCACCTTCTCCGTAACCCAAAGTTAATCCTCAAATTCTCAAAAAGATTCCCATCCTGGCATAAACCATCCTAACATAAAAATGATCTGAAATCATTCAAATATTGTGGTAGTTTCTATACAATGTCTTTGCATCAGACATTGAAGTAAAAAAGAAACATAATTAAAATGCAATAGAAATTGTAGCAGAGACTGACTGAGTCAAGGAAGAAGTCAAGTGAGGAATTAGTCTGGAATTGTTATGTAAGCATAAGAAGGCCTATTCCTCCTTGAATGCAGTTGAACCTTGTCTAGTCTGGTCCAGGTGCAGACTGGGGAGATTCCTGTGAAATAGGCATGAGTAATAACGTAGCTAACTGAACTCTTGACAAACACATAAAATGTTAAAACAAATCCTGAGGAAATCAAAGTCCTAACTGTGAAAACTGTGCATCTGTGAAAACTGCCACCTTGTGCTAAAGCAAAGGGGCTTTTGGAAGTGGACATATTTTAAGAAGGAAGTGTGACCAAACTGTGGAAAGGGAATTTCACGAAGGCAGTAGTGTCACACACACACACAAAAAAAAAAAAACAGGAAAGGCCCAAGGGGAACATCAGGTCAGCCAGAAAACAAACTTACATAGGAAAAGGAATCAAATAAAAAGTATTAAAGAATCCCTATAGACAAAGTATAGCCTAAGTAATTAAGAAAACTAGACAAATAGGAAAAGGAAACAAAGGATAATTTAGAAAACCCTTACAAACACAGGACATACCAAATAAGCAAAACAAACAGACAAAAGACACAAAATATAAATTACAAAAGGGACAGACAAGAGATTGCCACAGAACAAATATGAAAAACTATCTTAAAGCTAAAAGAGATTACAGAAAACCAATAATACAATCTGGCTGTGGAGTTTGCCCTCCGGCGGGAATAAAGACAAACTCAAACAGGGTTTGAAACATTAGGCACAAATACAAACACTCACACAAAATCAACTTACAAAAGGAAAAAGGTATAAAAAACCAGGGACTTACCATAAGAAGCTAGCTAGCCCAGGAACGCAGACTTCTCGCTGTTCTCCACCTTCCTGAAAAATAAAAAGATCCAGTTTTCAAGCAGTTGTCCGTATCCTTGCGCCGGAGCTCTCCCAGTGGAAAAATCGAATCCTCGAAAGAAAGGCATTTTGACACTTTTCAACAAAACATATACGTATAAAATAATTCCACAAGTTGCCTCTGCTATATAAAATCTTGTTTTGATTCATTTGTTCAAATTTACACTGCCCTGGGCCTTTTCAATCTTATTCAGTATTTATAAATATATAATTATGAATGCAGTGTAACAGCTGTAGATAATGTAACTTAATGAGAGATCTCTGAACAGTCATGTATAAAACACTGAGCTGTACTTGTTAGATTTTCTATAAAATGAGCATTTCTTTAATTTTAAGCTTTATGTGCCCTGTTAGTCAAAAGCAATCTGAATACCAATGTAATTATATTGATATCAGTGTGTGATAAAAGACAATTTGGAGAACTTCCTATTAACTAACCACTAGCCAGTTTGATCTAGTAGTTAAGGCACCAGGCTAGAAACTGGGAGACTGAGTTCTACTCTTGCCTTAGACATGAAAGCTGACTGTGTGACTTTGGGCTAGTCACTAATTCTTAGCCCAACCCATCTTACAGTTGAGGAAAATAGGAGGAAGGAGGCGGATTAGGTATATTTGCTGCCTTGACTTATAAAAATGTGGGATAAAAATAAGTTAATGTTTTAATGCTCCAAACATTTTTAGAATAACTGCAGGATTCTATACTACAGTAATCTTACCAATTAATTTTCTGGATATTTTATAAGGAAGTGATACAGCAGCATTAATCAGATCTATCCCATTTATTGTTTCCTGGTTTACTTTAATGACATAAATCTTATTCTACCCCTGAAGACTTTGAAAAAGAAATGTCAAGAACTATAGCTTGGCAATCTAGCCCTAAATATATTTATTTGGAAATAGGCACTATTGGTTTTAGCAAGAATTGAAACTAAATAAAGTTATATCATTTTCAAACTGAACATTAGTGGTGAAACTCACATAAAATTTCAATGTGTTGGTTATAACAAGTTCCCTGAGGTAAACATTACAGCATTTATCTTGAACTGAGGAAAAAGAAATGGCTGCTACCACTTCATAATATCTGAAACTTTGGGCTGAATCAGTAGAACTGAATAGACCTTATTGTATCTGTAGCCATCAGTGTGCCTCTAAAAACTTTCTGTACTAAAGTATCTACTTCCTACCGTATCTGAAATTATTTTTAATATTGTTTTAGTTACAATTAAGTAACTATCAACTTCTGTTATCTTTAGTTACAAAAATTTTCTGGGCCTTACATGAATCCCACATAAAATAAAATTATTGGTTGACAATCATTCTATGGAAAAGTGCTTTCTGTCTGAAGAAAAGGAAAAGAGTCATAAATAATATTTTTCAGGAATATACAAGTAGCAATAATAAATGGATGTTAAGCTTCTATCATTTCTACTATAGTTATAATATCAATCAATAAAAGGGGGTCATAAAAGTCACCTAGAAATAATGAAATTTTAACTGTTAACCATTTTAAATGCTCCTTTTAATTAATGTTCTGATTGAGGAACTAGATAATAGATTATAGTGTCTTTATTATTATATTTTAACTACATGATTCATATACTTATCATCTTTCATCCAGACTGCTACAGTGTGGTTTATATAGGGCTGCTTTTAAAGACCAGTAAGAAAGTGCAGTTTTCCAAAATGTGGAAACTCATATCCTGATGAATTGGATTCATCAGTTATATTACTGATGTTTTGTAGCCACTGCATTAGATGCCAAATTGTGCAATTTGAAATGCGACTTTTAATGCATAAAGGTGTTTAGGGTTTCACACCTAAATATGTATAAGACTGCCTTCTCCATGTAGAAATGCCTAACGTCGAACATATACTGTACATTCTATCGAGATCTTCTGATGGATCCAAGCCAATGAAGTCAATGAATGAATGGTATCAGGTAAAACTTTTCAGTTGTGGCTTCCATATTCTGAACCAACTTTCTTCTTAATGTTAGGGTGTTCAGAAGCTTATGAAGACTAAGTTAT